CCTCCGGGGATCGTGGGCATGCACACACACGCACCCAGTGTGAGTTTTAAGCCACTGGGTCCGGGACGCGAACTGCGGTCAACTATGTGGGAGTCCAGCAACATAGCCATTACGGTAACTGCTGGTTCCCTCGGGAGGTGATTTCTCACTTTCTCTCTCCAGTGAGCACATGCGCCCTATAGCAAAAACCTCTCTTAAAAAAGAAGGCCAGATCCTACATGGCCAACTATGGTTCAAATCTTGGCCCTGGCAGCTTGAAAAACACACCAGGTGTGTGTGTGTGTGCAAGAGTGTTAGGATTCGAACAGGACGGAGGGGTACGGGAAGGAGGGTTACGGCATCGTCACAGCCCTGCCACGGGTGCTCTCTCTCGCCCGCTCTCTTTGGCAAGCACACACATTCAGCAGCAATTAAAAAGCAGCAGCAGCAGCAGCAGCAAGTCATAGGCCCAGCCTATACTCAAGAAAAGGAAAAACAGACCCCAGCTCTTGATGAGTTGCAAAGTCTCATTGCAAAAGACGTGCAGAATGGGAAAAATGGTGACACCTTTGGAGACAGCCTACATACTTCCCTGTAGTCACAAATTATCAGCAGATTATCGGTATGAGTCTGGCCTCCAAATGGATGCAGTAGCTAAAAGCCCATGCTGGTTTCTCCCGACTCTCGGAACCTAGAGGCCACCGCAGTCGTGCTCACCGCCCTGTGCCAGAGGGGAAGGCGCAGCTCACTTTCCTGCTGTACTCCCGGTCCCCCCCACCACCTCACATTCCAAGTTCGCCACCTCGGGTCTCTTTAAATTGGCCAGACTCATTCCTCCCTCAGGGTCTTTGCACTTCTGTTTCCATTTTTGTTCTACTCAATCTTTTTTTTCAGATGTTTTTGCCTTAGGGTGCATGTGCTTGCCAGAGAGAGAGAGAGAGACAGTGACAGTGAGAGGGAACATGAAAAATCACCTCCCAGGGGAATGGTCATGTCTCAATCCCTCTCCTCCATTCTCTTCTTGGGATTTTGGGCATGCATGCACACTTTCCTGGCATGAGTTTGAAGCCCCTAGGGGATGGTGTGATTTCTCTTTTTGTGTCTCTATCTGATGAGTGCAAGGGGGGGCACCAGGTGGTGTAGTGGTTAAGGCACTGGACTCCCACATGGCTGACTGCGGTTCGAGTACCAGACCTGGCAGCATGAAATACACCAGGCGTTTATTTGTGTGTGCCCAAAATCCCACGAGGAGAATGGAGGAGAAGGGATTGTGATGTGGCTATGTCCCCTGGGGGGAGATTTCTCGCTTTCTCTCTAAAAAAAAAAAAAAAAATCACCAGGTGCATAAGTGTGCATGCCCCAAATCCTGAGAATGGAGGAGACAGGATTGGTGCCACCACCCCCGCCCCCAGGGTGATTTCTCACTTTCCCTCTCCTGTCTCTCCCCAGCAAGCACATGCGCAGCGTAACACGTTTAAAAGCAAACGTCCAAACAGAACAAGAACAAACAGAGCACAGCGAGGAGCCCCAGACAGGGCCTGGCTCCGGTGCAGGCAGCACCCACCTCTTGTAGCACTGCAGCTCCTCCTGCACCAGAAGCAGCTGCGACTTGAGGGAGTTGCGTTCCTGCAGCACGTCCCTGAGCTCCTGCAGAGTGAAGCGGGGTCGGTTGGGATCCGCCAGGTCAATCACCATTTTGTCAGGTCCCAGATTCACCTGTAAGAAAAGGTGCCACTTACATGGCGTCCCTCTGTGGCTCCCAGAGATCCAGGGAGCTGAGGTGTTGCCTGTCGGGAGTGCTGGCTGATGATGAAGATGCCAGGTTCTAAGTAACACTCTCAGAGAAAAGACCCTGCACTCCCTGGGGACAGCTGGAAAGAATGAGCAGAGCTGGGAACGCCGTATTGTGGAAGGGGTGGAAGACGGATCAAAACGACAATTTGGAGGACCTCTCTCTCTTCCTGTGTGTGTGTATATGTGTGTGTCTGTTTATCAAGCAGACATGACTTGAAATAAAATAGGACCAGCCTTGTGGCCCAGTGGTTAGGAGAGCCAGATTCCATGTGGCCGCCCAAGCAGTTCAGGCCCCAGGACCAGCAGCCTGAAAACATGCCGGGAATGTACATGTGTGCCCCAAACTGCCACAGGACAGAGAGACGAAGAAGGGGTTTTGGCATGACCACACCCCATTGGGAGGCACTTTCTCTCTCTCCCTCTGTCTCTGTCTCTTTCTGGAGAGCACACACATTCTCTGGGAAATTAAAAATATCCACATACAAATAAATAAAATTGATAAAAATTTAGACATAGATTTTTGTATGTATACATACATACATGTGCATATACACGTCTGCACACACATACCTGAGAACATTTGAACTGAGATATGCAGATATTCCTTGTGCTTATCTTGCAACTGTCCCTTAGGTTTGAAAACACCTAAATATCCACTAATAGAAGTTTAGTTAAATAGGACTGGCTGTGGCTTGGTGGTTAAGGGAACTAGATCCCACATGGAAACCTTGCAGTTCAAATCCCAGCCCTGATGGCTTGAAAAACATGCCAGGTGTGTGTGCATGCATGCCCCAAATCCTGAAAGGAGAGAAAAAGGGAGACAGGATTACGGTCTGACCATACCCCATGGGGGGTGCCTTCTCTCTCTGTGTGCCTCTGTCTCTTCCTATGAGCACACGCACCCTCTGACAAATTAAAAAAAGATACATATGATCACAAGACATCGGCTAGGTCATCTTTACATATGGCCATCAATATGTTCGTAAAGCAGTTTTATGATCAATGTATATGCTTCTGAGCCAGCCTGTGGCATAGTGGTCAGGGTGGCTGGATCCCACATGGCTGGCTGGCTATGTGGATTGAGTCCCAGATCTGGTGGCTTGAGCGACACACCAAGCGTGTGCATGCGTGCCCAAAATCCTGAAGGAAGGAACATGGCGGGAAAAGCACTGCAGTATAACCACCCGTCTCCTATGGGAGGTGCTTTCTCACTTTCCCTTTCTTTGTCTCTCTCTGGTGAGTACATGCGCCCTCTGGCAAATTTTTTTTTTAATTTTATTTTATTATTATTTTTGAAAAGATTTCTGGGCCAGCAGGTGGTCTGGTGGTGGTTCAGGGCGCTGGGCTCCCACGTGGCTGACCGTAGTGAGTCCTGAACCTGGCAGCTTGCTTTCTCACACTCTCTCTCTTTCTCTCTCTCTCTCTGTCCTTCTCTGGTGAAGCTAAAAATAAATAAATGGATAAATAAATAAAGTTAAGTAAAATAATTATCTAAAAAAAATTTTCCAATAAGGCAAGTGTGCTCACCAGAGAGACAAAGTGAGAAAACAAGTCGCCAGGTTCACACTTGAAACACGATTGGTCATGTGGGAGTCCAGCGCCTTAACCAGTATGCCACCTGCTGGTTCCATCTTGCAAAATTAAAAAAAAAAAAATCTGTGATTGGGACCAGCAGATGGCGTAATGGCTATGTTGCTGAACTCCCATGTAGTCTACCGCAGTTCAAGTCCCAGACCCGGTGTCTTAAACTCATGCTGTACGCATGTGCATGTGTGCCCAGTATCCTGAGAAGAGAATGAAGGAGAAAGGATTGCATTGTGGCCATCCCCTCAGGGGGTGATTTCTTGATTTCTGTCTCTCTGTCTCTATCTTTCTGGCAACTGCATGTGCCCTATAGCAAAAACCTCTTCCCCTCAAAAAAACAAAAAACAAAAAACAAAAACAAAACTGTGATTTCTATTGGTGATACTCATAGGTATTATTTATATTAGTGGGTTTTCCATCTGTACTCACAAATGAAGAAAATGATACATTTCACTAGGAGGTGGGTGAAAATAAAAATGTAACTCCCCCACAGGCGCTCACAGGCCTTTGGAAGTAGAATCAGGGTCCCCTCTGTGAATCCAGGAACACCGAGTTAACTCTCGGACAGAACAACTGGTAGGGCATACAATGGAATTTCTCAAAAGCTAGTAGAAAACAAGGAAGCTTTTTATATTCTGATTTAGGTCAACAGTCAAGTTATGTAAAATGAAAATAAGATAAGGCAGAAGAGTGCATATATTAAGATATCGTTTGTGTAAAAACAATGGGAAAATAGTTATATTTGCCTGTGTTTGCATAGTATCTCTGAAAGGATACACAAGAAATTGATCATTTAAATTTTTCCAAGAGAGGCAAATTGGGGTAGAAAAAGATGGGAAGGAAGACTTCTTTACATGTTTATTTTTTCTGAGCCCAGCTAGTGGTGTGGTGGTTAATGTGGCAGGATCCCACATGGCCACCTATGCAATTCAAGTCCCAGTGGCTTGAAAATCATGCTGGGGTGTGTGCGTGCCAAAATTCGGAGAGGAGAATGGAAGAGAAGAAATTGAGGCATGGCCATGGCCCCTGAGGGATGATTTCTCACCTTCCCGCTTCCAACCTCCTCCCACCAAGAATACCTATATCAAGTTTCTTTTTTTAAACTAGTTAGAGACAGAAAGAGAGACACAGTACCCCAGCACAGTCTGGAAGTCACGATCCACCCCCTATTCTGCCTAGAATCATGGGCGCATGCATGCCCAGAGTACTCAGGGAGGCCCTAAGGGGAAAACCTGGAACCCACCCAGGGTCAGCCTGGCAGTGTGGGGTTCCACCCCATGCCACTATCTGACCACCAGGAAGGGGATTTGTCAAGGCAAACACTTTTGTACCTTGTGAATTTTGAACTTAGATTTTCCAAAGAGAAAGAAAAAACCCACTAGGACAACTACTGTCAAAAGAACAGAGTAACCAGTGCTGGTGAGGATGTGGAGAGGTTGGAACCTTTGTGCTGTTCTGGGGGTGTATGGGGCAGTCCCTGTGGAAATTGTGCAGTTCCATATGGAAGTCCAAGCAGGACCACTACTCCTGGAGATCCACCCAGAAGCACTGAAGCAGGCCTCGAAGACAGACTTGCACAGCCACGCTCCTGGCAGCGGTAGCACAACAGCCCAGGGGCAGGCGCAGCCCATGTGTCCTGCCAGGTGAATGGGTGCACGGGAGGCGGTGCACGCGGCCAGAGGTAGGAGCCTCGAAAAGGAAGTTCGGGCACATTCTACGACATGGGCGACCTCGAGGACCTTACGCTAGGGGAAATAAGCCGGTCACAAAGGACAGATGTTGCAAGTCCACATCCATGAAGTCCTAGAAAAGGTCAATTCACAAACACAGAAAGGAGAAATGCGCTACCAGAGGCTGGGGGAGGGGAACTGGGAAGGTTTTTTGATGGGTATAGAGTTTTAGTACCCATCAGTTTTTTGTTTTTATTTTTAAAGTTTTTTGAGAGGATTTTTTTTTTTTTTTTGCTATAGGGAGCGTGCGCTCGCCAGACAGAGACAGAGAGACAGAAAGCAAGAAATCACCCCCCAGGGGGGATGGCCATGCCGCAATCCCTTCACCTCCATTCTCTTCTTGGAATCTTGGGCACACACACACATGCGCCTGGCGTGAGTTTAAGCCACTGGGTCCAGGACTTGAACCGCAGTGTACTACATGGGAGTCCAGCGACATAGCCATTACGCTAACTGCTGGTCCCGAGTTTTTTCTTTTTTAAAAATTTGCTTTATGGCATGTGCAGAAAGAGAAAGATAAAAAGAGACAAATCACATCCCGAGGGGGATGGCCACTCCACAATCCCATCTACTCCATTCTCCTCTCAGGATTATGGGTATGCGCACACATGCACCCATCATGTTTATCGAGCTGCAGCATCCAGGATTTGAACCACACAGCTGACCACGTGGGATCCAGCCACTCTAACCACCATGCCATCAGCTGACCTGAGTTCCTGTTCTGAAAGATGAGAAAAGTCCTGGAGCTGGACAGTGGTGACGGGAATAAATGTGAATGCACCAAATGCAGCTGGACTGTACACTTAAAAACAATTAAGATGGGACACTTTATGTTACGTGGATTTCACTACAATTAAAAATACTTTAAAATAATCATAATGAAAGAGGGCCAGGCCTGTAGCCTAGTGGTTAAGGGAGTCCGATCCCACATGGCCAACTCCAGTCTGAAACCCAGCCTCAGTGGCTTGAAAACCACACTTGGCACGTGTGTGTGTTTAGCCAAAATCCCAGCAGGATGGAGGAATGGATTTTGACGTGACCATGTCCCATTTAGGGGGTTTTCTCTCTTCTACTTCCCTTTCTGGCAAGTGCATGCGCTCTTTGGCAATTAAAAAAAAATCAGAAAGAAAGAAGGGCAGACGGTAGTGGGGTGTCAACACGACCGGACCCACATGGGAAAGGTCCTGGATTCAAATCCCGGGACTTCTCTGAGAATGTACCTGCCCAAGAGCTGGGCCAGCTCTGACCGGGTGAGGTGTGGGCCCTGTGTGCAGACCCCGTGAGGAGTGGGAAGTGGACCCTTCTTTCTGTGTCTCCCTTTCTCTCTCATGAAAGAAGTAAATAAACTTGAAAAAGAACAAGGAATGTTTTCATGAACTATGTAACAAAAGTAAACATTCATTCTCTTAATTCATGCCCTTTCCCCAACCCAGTTCTCAAGACTGCTATTTCGGGGAAATGTGCCATCTCATCTGTGGGCTGATGAAACTCGTCTGCCTTGCCCCATCCGAGAAACCACCCAGGCCCTGCGCAGACCACACCGTTCCCAGTCTGTAACTGGGCTTCCTCCATGTCCTGTGTCTGGAGATGGGGCTGAAAACAGCACGGAACTGGCTGAGCAATCCTGGGTAAGTCACTTCTCCTGTATCTCAAAAACCAGGCTCCTCATCCGGATACCGAACCAGCTGGCCGCAATGGATAGACAGGCAGACTGTGTACAAGTAGAACTGCCTCCTCCCAGTAGGAGAAATAAAGTGACCAGGGATGGGCCAGCACGTGGCTTGGTAGTTAAGGCGCTGGACACTCCTGCATGGGCGCCCATGGTTTGCATCCCATCCCAGACCTGATGGCCTTGCTTTCTCACTTTCTCTCTCTTGTCAAATAAAAATAAATGTATAAATAAACAACATTAAATAATAAATAAGTCTTTTTTTTTTAAAAGTGACCAGGGGCATTGCCAGAAACCTTGGCGCTTCCCCGCGAACTTCAGCGATGCCGTTCCTGTTGCTCATCCTTGGCGTGCATACTGCTCAGTGTGCATACTGCTCAGTGTGCAAGCTGGTGTCTGGTTGTGGGGGCGACTGCGTTTTGTCTCTGCCACTCAGTGTGAGCTCTCTGAGGGCAGGGGCCCTGTCTAACTACCTCTGCAGCCCCAGAGCCTGCTGTACAGCGGTCGCTCATCAAGAAAGGTCACACATCTGTATTTTAGTGTGGAGCAAGACTAGCATCTGGAAGTTCAGATCCTGGCTCCAGCTTGCTGTTAAATCCCAGGCAAATTACTTACCTGTTCTGCACCTCACATTTTGTAAAGTGGGTGTAACGTGGAGTTTAAATGAGGTAGGCCACTTAAAGCAACATTTTTTTTCAAAATTGTGGCTGTAGACCTACTCTAGTGTGTCATGAAATTAATTTAATGAGCTGCATCAAGTTTTTTAAAAAAGAATTTTAAATTATTATTATCTCTATTAGACCAGAGAGAGACAGAGAAAGAAGGAAAATGAGAAAGCGAGTCACCAGGTCTGGAACTAGAACCACAGTTGGCCACGTGGGAGTCCAATGCCTCAGCCACCATGCCACCTACCAGCCCAAGTTGTATCAAGCTTGTAAAGTTGATAAAAACAGGACAGGAAAGGGCCAGCTGGCGACATGGCGCAGAGGTGGCGAGACCCACACAGCCAGCTGGGAGTTCTCAGCTCTGTACCCAGTGGCTAGGAAATATGCCAGGGGCGTGGGAACCAGCGAATGGTGTACTGGTTCTAGCTGGGCTCCCATAGGCAACTGTGGTCCAAGTCCTGGACCTGGTGTCTTAAAACACACCGGGCGAGAGTGCATGTGTGCCCAAGATCCCAAGAGGAGAATGTAGCAAAAAGGACTGCAGCATGACCATCACTGCCCCACCCCTGGGGTGATTTCTCCTTTTTGTCTCTCTGTGTCTCTCTGGTGAGTGCACATATTCTATAGCAAAAATCTCCCTAAACATAAATAAACAAATAAATAATACGCCGAGTGTGTATGTATGTGTGTGCCCCAAATTCCAAAACGAGGGACAAATGGAAGAGAAGCGACTGTAGTGTGGCCATTCCCCATGGGGGTTGCTTTCTCACTGTCCCTCTTTCTCTCTCTAGTGAGATAGCTTGCCCCCCCCCAGCAAAGGGAAAACAAAAAAATTATGTGTGGGGGCAGGCCGGTAGCAGAGAGGTTAAGGGCACTGGACTCTCACATGGCCAACTGCAGTTCGAGTTCCAGACATGGCGGGGGGGGTTTTTACATTCACTTTCCTTCTCTCTCTCTGGTAAAATTAAAAAAAAAAAAAAAAAAAGATAATAAATAAAATTAAAAATAAAACCTATGCACATCATGTTTGGTACAGGTAAGTTAACATAATTTTTTAAAAGAATTATTTAACTTGGGAACCAGCAGTTAGCAAAATGGCTATGTTGCTGGACTCCCATGTAGTCGACCGTGGTTCACGTCCCGGACCCGGTGGCTTAAAACTCACGCCGGGCGCATGGAGAGGAGAATGGAGGAGAAGGGATTGCGGCGTGACCATCCCCCCTGGGGGGGTGATTTCTCACTTTCTATCTCTCAGTCTCTCTCTGTCTGTCTGGTGAGTGCACGCGCCCTATAGCAAAAACCTCTCAAAAAAAATATTTAACTTTATTTATTTATTTTAATTTGATCACAAAGGGACAGACTGAGAGGGGGGAAGGAGAGGGAGAAAGCAAACTGCCAGTTCCAGGACTTGAACTGCCATCAGCCATGTGGGAGTCCAGTTCCCCTAACTAGCACGCTACCTGCCAGCCCCAGTAATTTCTTTTTGAAAGCTTCCGTCTCCTCACTACTGGTTAAGGACATGAATGTAATCTGGGAAAACTGAGGTATAGCACACATCCAGTGACGGGCACAGTCCTGAGTTTATAGCTTGACGACTGTCAATACATGTGGACGTGGACGCTCCTTCACCCACAGCCTGATGGCGACATGGAACATCTGTAGGCCTCTATCAATTTTCTTTCTGTACTCTCCCCAGCACAAACTCCATTCTGGCATCTGTAAACTGAAGATCGTTTTTTCTGATCTTTAATTGTCGGTATATGGTAGGCTCCCTCTCGTGCCTGGCTTCTCTTGGTGTAGAATCTGTGACATTCACTCCTACCTTTGTGTGTCTTGGCACTCTGCTCTTTTCACTGCTGCATGGTATTCCACCGTAAGGGTGCACCGCCATCAACAACTCTGTGCTCCCATCGTAAGGGTGCACCACCATCAACATCTCTGTTTCCCCACTGTAAGGGTGCACTGCCATCGACAACTCTGTTCCCCCACTGTAAGGGTGCACCGCCATCGACAACTCTGTTCCCCCACTGTAAGGGTGCACTGCCATCGACAACTCTGTGTTCTCACTGTAAGGGTGCACCGCCATCGACAACTCTGTGTTCTCACTGTAAGGGTGCACTGCCATCAACAACTCTGTTCTCTCACTGTAAGGGTGCACCGCCATCGACAACTCTGTGTTCTCACTGTAAGGGTGCACTGCCATCAACAACTCTGTTCTCTCACTGTAAGGGTGCACCGCCATCGACAACTCTGTGTTCTCACTGTAAGGGTGCACTGCCATCAACAACTCTGTTCTCTCACTGTAAGGGTGCACCGCCATCGACAACTCTGTGTTCTCACTGTAAGGGTGCACTGCCATCAACAACTCTGTTCTCTCACTGTAAGGGTGCACCGCCATCGACAACTCTGTTCCCCCACCGTAAGGGTGCACCGCCATCGACAATTCTGTTCCCCCACTGTAAGGGTGCACCACCATTGACAACTCTGTGTTCTCACGGTAAGGGTGCACTGCCATCAACAACTCTGTGCTCCCACCGTAAGGGTGCACCGCCATCGACAACTCTGTTCCCCCACTGTAAGGGTGCACCACCATTGACAACTCTGTGTTCTCACGGTAAGGGTGCACTGCCATCAACAACTCTGTGCTCCCACCGTAAGGGTGCACCGCCATCGACAACTCTGTTCCCCCACTGTAAGGGTGCACCACCATTGACAACTCTGTGTTCTCACGGTAAGGGTGCACTGCCATCAACAACTCTGTGCTCCCACCGTAAGGGTGCACCGCCATCGACAACTCTGTGTTCTCACTGTAAGGGTGCACCACCGTCGACAACTCTGTTCCGCCAATGTAAGGGTGCACTGCCATCAACAAATCTGTTCTGTTGCTTCTGATTGTTTCTGGTTTGGCACGATTATGCCAAAAGCTGCTCTGAATCATCCTTTTTTGTTTGTTTTTTCCCTGGTTACAGGCAATACCTTTTCTTTAGTTAAAATGTGCTTCTTCATCTAGGTCAAAAGTTCTCAAAGAGGGGACCAGCAGTTAGCGTAATGGCTATGTCACTGGAATCCCATGTAGTCCACTGCGGTTCAAGTCCTGGACCCAGTGGCTTAAACTCACGCCGGGCGCATGTGCGTGCGTGCCCAAGATCCCAAGAGGATAGTGGAGGAGAAGGGATTGCGGCGTGGCCACCCCCCCTGGGGGGTGATTTCTCGCTTTCTGTCTCTCTGTCTCTGTCTGTCTGCCTGGTGAGCCCACGCACACTATACCAAAAACCTCTCAAAAAAAAAGAAAAAAAAGGTTCTCAAAGAGGACAGCCTGGGAGCACAGTGGTTAAGGGCTGTGCATGGAAGTGAGATGCCACAGCAGTTTGAATCCCAGTCCTGGCAGTTTGGAAAACACACCGGACTCACGTGTCTGTGTGCCTGAAACCCTGACAGGAGTGAGAAGCAGAAAGGAAAGGACTGGCATGGCCATGCTGTGCTCTCTCTCTCCCTCTGCGGCGTACATCCACCCAAAGGCAATTTAGAAGACAGTTTCTCACAGTGTGGCGCCTGGACTAACAGCATTGGCATAAACTGTAACTCCCTAGAAATGCAGATTCTCAGGTCCCACTCCAGATCTCTAAGTCAGAAACTGCAGCAGGGCCCGGCCAGCTGTGCTGTAGGAACAGACCCGTGATCCTAATGACCCCACACAGGGGAAGCCCTGCCCAGGGGGGGTCAAAGAGGAGGGCAGGTCTGAGGGACACAGCGCAAGCCCTGCACCTAGTAAGCCTCAATAAGATATTTCTGATTCCTGCAGTGAATTGTTTTGCAGGGCTTGGTGTCCAAGAAAGGAAAGGGGACCTCCCGTGAGTGAGGGCCCTCCCAAGTACCCTCCCTCCCACTCACCTCCCCGTTGGCAGGCGGGCCCTCTCTCCGCAGCCCCTCCACCTCCTTCCTGAGGTTGTCCCTCTCCATTCTCAACTCCTCCACCGTCAGGCTGCCCTCGTTCACCAGCGCCTCCAGCATCTCCAGCACGCGGACGATTTTGAACTGCAGCTGTGTCACCCGGGGGTCGCTGCCCAGGGCCATCAGCTCACGGCCCATCACGTAGGAGATGTCGTACACGTCCTCGGTGGTCAGCTGGAAGGGGCTCTTGCCCAGAGCGCCCTCCGGCCCAGCCTCATCCCTCTCGTCGTCGTCTTCCTCTTCCTCCTCTTGCTCTTCTCGCAAAGGGGGCTCCTCCATGGCCGCCCAGACCCCTGCTGCTTCGGAGCTGCGCTTTCGGAGTCTTCGAAGACTGAACTTCCTCCGGGCACCAAAAACTTTCCTCCAGGCAGACACTGTGGTCCAATCAGCGCAGCCGAGGGGTGGGGAGAAAAGGGCCGCGCGGGGTGACTCTCAGGGGGACTCTGGGTGCACCGTCCCCATCCCCGGCGATGACAGTGGCGACGATAGTGCAGCCGACCCGCTCCAGGATGTGGTTTGGGGTAGGGAGAGAGGACGGAAAGGGGGGGCAGTCGAAAAGAACAACTGCGAAGTTCAGGAGGCCAGGCGAGCGCTCCCTCCCCGGGCAGTTACAAACCGGGGAGGAGCCGTCCCAGCTCCGCCCTTGGTGACAGCCACCAGAGAAGCCTTGTTCCCATGGAGATGGGGCCGGGCTTCCATGGCGTGAGCAGGGAGAGGGTGAGAAGGAAACTTTTTCCTCTCTACGCTCAAGCGTTCCAGCCGTAGAATTTGCATCTTACGTGATGGAAGGTCCCACAGCTATTAGAGGGTTTTCTGAAACCTGCAGCAAAACTGACAGTGGGGGAGTCCCCAAAGCTCCCATGACCAAGGCCTCTGAGTTCCGCTGATCCTTAATGGGACCCTACTCAGAGCTGCCCTCGCCAAGTCACTGACTTCCTCAGGGCCTCAGTTTCCGCCTCTGTACCTGGGACCAATCAGAGGACTAAGCGGTGGGACTGCGCGGAGGGATACGAGATCATGCTCCTGACAAATCGCTCAGAAAGCCCTTCAGCAAGTGACCTTCCTCCCGCAGACGTGACAAGGGGCTGCCTGAGTGCCAGACACCACCACCTGGGTAGGATAGACAAAAGCACGGTCTACTCTGAAAATCAGAAAGCAGGGACCAGCAGTTGGCATAATGGCTACGTCGCTGGACTCCCATGTAGTCGACCGTCCCTGACCGGTGGCTTAAACTCACACCCGGCGCGTGTGCGTGGCCAAGATCCCGAGGAGAATGGAGGAGAAGGGATTGTGGCGTGGCCTCCCCCCCACCTCCTAGGAGGTGATTTCTCGCTTTCTGTCTCTCTGTCTCTCTTTCTGGCGAGTGCATGCAGCCTATAGCAAAAACCTCTCCCCCCCCCAAAAAAAAAAAAAAAGAAAAGAAAAAATCAGAAAGCATTCTTCCAACACAGAGATCTGTATTATCGAGAATATTAGCAGTGTGAATGACACATCCTGAGTTATTTAAGGGGGTGTTCTGGATTTTTAAATTTATTAGAGGGCAGGTAGGATTGCTGCAGAGAGAGAGAGGGCAAGCGGGAAATCACCCCCCAGGGCATGGCCACTCTACATTCCCTCTTCCTCCATTTCTCCGTTTGGGGGATTTGGCGACACCTGCACACACGCCTGGATTGTTTCTCACGCCCCAGGTCCAGCACTTGAACCACGGTCAGCCACGGGATCTGGCTACCTAAACTACCTCAACACAAACTGACCTGAGTAATTCTAGGCAGGATCGAAGTCCTGTACCAGCCTCAGCAGAAAGCTCAGGGAAAGCACTGTCTCCCGGGAGTAGACTGGCCGCTCGCTTGGGGGTAGATCTGCCTGGTTTTTTTTCCACACCGAGGTTCTAGAATCACAATGGAGTGTGTCCAAGGCTTACGAAAACAGAAAACAAACAAACAAACAAACAAACAAAAGGAAACAATTATTCAGCCATCAAAAGAAAGGAAGCAGGGCTGGCTCTCCAGCCTAGCAGTTAAGGAAAGTGGATCCCACACGGGCGGACAGTGCAGTTCAAATCCTGGTCCAGCAGCTTGAAAAGCATGCTGAGTATGTGTGCATGTGCTCCCAAATGGGGACATAGAGAAGGGACCGCAGAGTGACCAGGCCTCTCTGAGGGGTGCATTCACTTTCTGTCTCCTCTTTCTCTGCCTCTGGCAAGAGCACATTCCCTCTGGCAGGTTAAAAAGAAGCCAGGTCAGCAGATGAGGTAGCAGTTACAGTGCTGGACTCCCACATGGTTGACCACCGTCCAAGTCCTGGACCCAGTGGCTTAAAACTCACGTTAGTTGGGGGGGGTGGGGTCAGGAGGAGAATGAAGAAGGGATTGTGGTGAGGCTATCCCTCCTAGGGGAGGATTTCTCACATTCCCTCTCACTGTCTCTGTCTTACTCTGGTGAGTGCATAGTCTAAGGCAAAAAGCTCCTAAAAAAAAAAAAAAAGAAGTCAGCCACAACAGACCACATCTCCATAATTCCATTTACATTAATGTCAGAACAGGCAAATAGTGGGTCATTGGAAAAGCTGAATCATTTTTAGAAAAACAGAAAAATACATCATGACTTTTTCGAAGACCCAATACAGAAGAGACAGGAAGCAGATTACCCCTAGTCTAGCCCCCCCTCAGTGGGGGCAGCGCTTCTTTTGAGGGTGATGAAAATGTCCTAAAATTAGGCAGTGGTGACAGTAGCACAACTCTGTGAATATATTAAAAACCACGGGACTGCACATGTGAAACAGGTTCATCTCATATGTAAATAGGATCTCAGTGCTGGAAAGGGAAGTAGGCCTCCCACAGGGCACACGTGCTGGCCACGGAGAGTGAGAATGAAGGTGAGCAATCAGCCCCGGGGGCATGGTCAAGGCGATCTCTTCTTTTCCTCCATTCTCCTCTTGGCTGGACCTGCACATGCACCCAGTGTGATTTTCCAAACTAGGCCTACGACTTGAGCCAGTCTGCCATGTGAGATTCCAGTGCCTTAACTACCACGCCACCTGCTGGCCTCATGAGTTTCTTTTATTAACCTTCAGGACCTGCACCCACCAAATCCAGCAGAATCTCCTCAGCATCATTGTCCTAGTCAAAAGTTCCCTGTGCCCTGAAAAGTCCCCTGTAAGGTGCTGATGTGTTCCTTCCTCTGTGCTTTTCCAACCCTTCCTTATGCTGAAAAGCCTAGCAAATCATGTCTTTAAATGTCAAAATGTCTTCCACTGAGAAGCGATGCTTTTGATACAAAAACCAAAAGTTCTTTTTTTCTTTGCTCATGAATGATTAATTCACTGAGTATCTGCTATGTTCAAAGGCTGTAGCATCACACAGGGTTGTGGAGCTAGGTGGTCTTTGTTTCTTCTTTCTGTTTTTAACTAGAGTCTTTGTTTTCCTTTCTTTCTTTTTTTAATTAGAGGAGAGAGAGACAGGCTTTTTTGACAGGCTCCCACTACCACAATTCTCTGTCCCCAGGATCACAGGGACATGCCCCCAAGGCCAGTGGGTTCAAGTTAGTCCAGGATTGGAACCATGTGGTCCTGCCCTTGCCCAGGGGCACCTTACTGTCTGTGCCACCAGGCTGGGCCAGCGGCCCTTGACTTAGACCTCACAAATGCTTCTTGCTGGTTCACGGGCTTCATCAAACGCTCTAATCTCTCCTAACCCTGTTGCCTCACTGTAAACTGAGGAAAATAAGACTGGTGTGAAGATCGGACAATAGTATCCAAAGACGAGATTACAACAATTTAAAGATTATTACCGGCCTTATTTGATTCTAGGACTGGGCAACACTTCATTCCACGCAAGAAACAGTGTGTTCCAAGAGTTGAGCAAGGGAGGCTGATTCTGTGGACCAAAACAGGCAGGAGAAAGTGGAAACAAGGAACAGAAGGCAGATTGCTCATTACTTTTTTAAAAAAAGAATTATTTAATTTTATTTATTATTACTATTATTTAATTTGAACAGAGACAGAGGGAAAGTGAGAAAGCAAGCCATCAGGTTCAGTACTCGAACGTGGTTGGACACATGGGAGTCTAACGCCTTAACCACCATGCCACCTGCTGCCCATAGTAAAGGTCCACCAAGTGTGGTCCTGGGTCCAGCAGTGGGAAACTGTGACATGCACATTCTTCACTTACTGAATCAGAGACTCTGGGGGTGACCCTGGCAATGTCTTACAAGCCTTCTAGATAACTGATGCAGCTCGCCTTTGAAAACCAGGCACAACAGTACAATATTCAAGAGGATAGGTTCGGGACCAGCAGACAGCATAAAGGTTACGTCACTGGACTCCCACGTGGCTGACCACAGTGTGAGTCCCGGACCTGCCAGCTTGAAATTCCCACCAGGAGTGCGTGCGTGCCCAAGATCCTGAGAGGAGAATGGAGAAGGGATGACAGTGTGGCCATCCCCCTGGGGGGTGATTTATTACTTTCTGTCTCTCTCTTGCCTGGCCACCAGCGTCCATGTCCAATAGCAAAAATCTAAGACAAATGGTCTCAATAAGGTGACACCATGCAGTGTGGTAGTGAAGGTGCTAGACTCCCACACGGCTGGCCAAGTCCCAGACCTGGCAGCTTGGAAATCACTCCAGGTGCGCACGCACGTGTCCAAAACCCCAAGAAAGGACTGTGGCTTGGCCGTCCCCCTAGCGGGTGACTTCTCACCTTCCCTCTCACTGTCTCTCTCTCTCTCTCTATGGCAAACACATGTGCCCTATAGCAAAAAAACCCCAACGATGTCAAAAACACATGTCCCCTGAGATTTAGGACAGGCACCTAGAATATGCACTCAAACTTGTTTTTTCTTGGCTTTTGAGTAGAAACCAAAGAATAGCAGAAAAGGGCAGCATGAAGGAAGGCCACATCTCAGTTACAGCAAAGGAAAAAGTAAAATGGAAAACAGAAGTTGAGTGGGTGGGTTCACAGTCACGTCCCCAAGCAGGCATGGTCTGCTGGCAAAAAGCTGGCGGCCCTTGGGAGCAGCAGTTGGCGTAATGGCTATGTCGCTGGACTCCCAAGTAGTCGACCGTGGTTCAGGTCCTGGACCCGGTGGCTTAAATTCACACAGGGCACGTGTGCGTGCCTGCCCAAGATCCGGAGAGAATGGAGGAGAAGGGATTGTGGCATGGCCATCCCCCCGGGGGGTGACTTCTCGCTTTCTGTCTCTCTGTCTCTGTCTCTCTGGCAAGAGCACACGCCCTATAGCAAAAACTTCTAAAAAAGAAAAAGCTGGTGGCCCTCTATGGTACCTGGTGCAGTCAGTGTCGGTCTTTGGAATTACCTGTGGGGCCATTACTTCCGAGTGCTGTGCTCTGAACGGCTTTCTTCCTGTTCCCGTTATTCTCAGGTGTTGCTAACCCTCAGTCATGTATGGAAATGGCAGGGATCTGGGAGACTGGCCAGCCTGGCGAGATGCCTACAATCCTGGGTCAAGGCGTTCGTCTGGAAGACAGGATTTCAAAGGTCAAAGGAAAAGAACCTCATAGCAGAAGGGTGGTGTTGGGCCACTCGTTTAGAGTCTGTGTTTTCAGAAGAGAACTTTTTTTTTTAAACTTGCTGCGTTTATACAAAATAGTTATTTTATTTATTTTCTTATGATTTTTAAAAGAATTAATTTTATTATTTTTAAAAGATTTATTTATTCATTCACTCATTCCTTCATTTTAATTTGACCAGAGAGAAACACAGAGAGAGAGAGGAAAGTGAGACAGCAAGCCACCAGGTCCAGGACTTGAACCATGGTCAGCCATGTGGGAGTGTCCAGTGCCTTAACCACCACGCCACCTGCTGGTCCCTTATTTTTATTATTTTTAAAAAGAATGATTATTTTTTAATCTGACCAGAGTGAGGG